GGAATTATCTACTTTTTAAACTATACAGGCTGTTACAAATTCGTTTTGCACTACAGGGATCTCAGAAACGGTAAGAGCTACGAAGTAGCTTAAATGGAGGCAAAGTTGCGTAATCAGGGGACCAACATTATGCCTCTAAAAAATCAAGGCTAACATGATTTGTTTTCGAAATATTTGAAAAAAAACTGAAATTTTGGAAATCCGTTTTTGTTTCATTTCAGCCTTATTTGAGGTGGCATTGAAAAAAGAACAACACTTTCCCATGGCCACTTTTTGCCCTCAATCGAATGGCATAATCAATTTTTATATGTAAAGTTTAAATAACTAGTTGGATATTACAAAGGAATCTAAATAAAAAATTTAGATAAATGTCTGAATCTGATGGCAGTACATTATTGGGGGTCATGAAGGCTTGCAAAAAATGTAATAAAATTTCCAGGTCCTATTTAAAAAAATGAAGTTGATGATGGTTCTGGCGAGATGAAACGTACATATAAAAATGGATTATGCCATTCGATAGAGGGCAAAAAGTGGCCATGAGAAAGTGTTCTTCTTTTTTCAATATTCACCTCAAACAAGACTGAAACGACGGAAAAAACGGATTTCCATAATTTCGGCTTTTTTCAGATATTTCGAGAACTAATCATGTTACTCTTGATTTTTTAGAGGCATAATGTTGGTCCCCTGATTACGCAACTTTGCCCCCATTTAAGCTACTTCGTAGCTCTTACCGTTTTCCAGATCCCTGTAATGAGAAGCGAATTTGTAACAGCCTGTATATTTGCAGACTTAAAAATGAAAATCATAGAAACATGTTATAATAATTACAATGGCTTTATTGTTGTCCGGTGAGAGATCGAGCAACTTGAATAGGAGTTTTTTGATATTCAGATCATGGTCTTACGTTTAAATAAGAATTGTTGAAGCAATTAGTTACCTTCACCGATACCACTATTAAGGAGCACTCCCCATGCAAACCAAATTGCGCTAGACAAGTTTAGAGCGTCCTCTTCGGTTCCGTCTGTATTTGCTAATTTAAATCTACCGAATGGAGAAAATCGATCTAGTAAGTATAAGACAAGGGCCACCACGTGAACCGAAACCATAACTAAAATCCACAATGTATTACTAAACGGCTGTAAAAATGACACTAAAGTAGATGATCTTGAGGGCTGAAACAAATATTATTTCTGTGTGTAGGTAATGCAAAATTAATTTGTATAAACGATTACCTTTTTCTCTAGAATAGTAATTCCTTGGTATTTAAATGGTTTACTAAATTCTATGAATTCTGCTCGTTCCGGATTTATAGTCAGTGGTGCAACTATCATATCAGCCCTCTCACCAACCAGTTCACCTATTAAACCAGTCCATTCCTTTTTGCCACCCACAGAGAAATTTTTTATAATGTAATTGCCAAATTGACCATCTGGAGAAAGGGCCAGACTATAAGTGAAATTAATCTTTTTTGATAATTCCTTCAATAGATCCATACAATATCCTTTACAACAATGAGTTACGTGTACTGAAATTTTTTTATGTATTAGTAAACTTATAACTTGGGGAATGTTTAAAATTAACACCTGCCGTGTTAAAATGGGGACACGGAATTTCTTCAGTGGTACAAGCATCTTGGGGCTCTTCTAATTTTCTAACGTATACGAAGGGTTTCTCTTCTATAGTCAAAACCTTTAAATGAGTCGGTATCATAAATCCTTCTGGCTTTACACTTTGCCGTCCTGGCCAAATTATGCTTTTTTCATCGACATTCAAATGCATTTTATCGCTTTCCTGTAACAAAATGGGGTTTCGATATCTTGAGAATTACCAAAAAAATACTATTTTAGGATATGTTATATTAATTATTAATCATTTTAGTGCCTCCACGGTAACAATTTTATCAAATAATATCAATCTTTACCCTTTTGAAGAAAAATTTGCCGACGACGACTTTTTTCTTCTTTCTTTGAATATTGACTAAATTATACTCGGCATTAATTCTGTCACCTTGGTCATCAAACGCAACTTTTCCTGTCTCCCCATTTATTAGTATTTGTTTTCTGATAAAATTAAATAAGTCTCTTCCGGTTTCCCATATGGAACCCGAGTTGTCGCAGTCTTTTGGGGCTTCAGTTATTTCCTTCGACTGATTCATATCTCTCAAGGCAGATGCCAGAACATAACTGAAACACACTTGTATAAACTTAATGCAATACACGATGTCTAGATTTCTTTTTTTTTAAGTTTCAAGTAAAACCTGCTTACATACTGTCCCGAATGTGAGCCTTTTCATTTGTGGCATTAACAAGTTTCAGTCCCAAGATCCCTTCCGGGGCATTGTCAGCTTCTAATGCTTGTTCTGTGACTATCCATGCATATCCAGCATCGGTCATATTTAATGCAGCTGCGTCATGGAATATCACTTTAGCGTCTGTCTTGCTGGAAAAAAAAATTAAATATCTCTAGGTCCCTTCAAAAAGTTGGCATCTTTTTATCTACCTCGCATACATCAGATAAACTCTTGCTTGGGCATTCTTCATTTCCTTAAGTTGGTCCTTAAAGCTGTCCAAACCTGATTCAAATTCTATTACCGATTCAACCTTAAACAGGATTTTCTAGAATGCTATTAGATCCACAACCAATTTAGTATACCTGAACTTTAATGTCCACATCATCTTCTAGGCTTTGAGAAGTTGTTTGAAATCTGCCAAGTAAGGCTCTTCCGTCTGTATCGGAACTATGAATAAATATAACTTTTTTGTAATTAAAGTATTTTAACATTTCTACCCAAACGTCAGCCTGATGTGAATAGGGAGGAACCGTTCTTAGAAACGATACATGAATATTCTGAAATTGTTATGCTAATTAAAATGTCTTTAATGTTTGTTATAAGAAAGTTCTTTTTAATATTTGATTAGCATGCATATACAGGGCGTCTGGAAATTAATGACGAAAGGACTATACTTCAAGAATCGATTCCTCAGATGAAAATAAATTGATTTAGATCAAGTTACCTTAGTACAATTTTTCAGGTGAATTTTGCTTCTGCAAGAAGTTAAGAGCCTTTGATAAGTGTTTTGTTTCATTTTTAAAAGGTAACTTTGTTACTTCTTTAGATATTTCAACAAAATTTGGTAGGCAAGAAGATTTTGGGTGGCAAAAGATGAACATAGGTTTTCTTTCTAACGCATAGATGTAGGGATTGCTAAGAATACCCAAAATAGTTGTTTTATTTAGTTTTTAATATTTATTTTGTTATAGAGATTTTTTTCGTGAAAGAACATTCTTTTACCAATTCCCGAACTACACAAAGCATTATTTAATTTTTATTAACAAGCAAATAAAATATTTGATGAGAATTAAATCAGATTTGTATCGAAAATCTATTGGTAAATAAAATAAATGGAAAATTGCAAGTCAGAAAAAACTTGGAAAAATACATTATTGTGTAGTATTAAATTTCCTATTTCTGTAAATGTAATATTTATGTTATTATTTGAAAAAGTGAAGTCTTATTTTGATCCCAAGGAATCTGTGTTATCTTGATGTACACGGAATATTGAGACATCCTGTATATCATAGCTAATTTAGAACACCTTATCTGAGAATGCCGAGTCTCTTGATGAAATTCCGATAACAGGAATATGGTAAAAACCACTTGTGTATGATACTGCAGCAGGAGACAAATCTCCAATGAGGGGATGGGATACAACCACTGCGTATACCTGCAGAAACTACCTATTAGATAAAGTAAGTAAATGACATGGAAATTTTTAAGAAGCTACACAAGTACCTATCTGTTTGGAGGGTTAACAAAATCAACTTTAAAGGTATATAGCACTTACCTTACTGGAAATCAAATATTTACACACATTTAAAGCAGTTCGTATGGGATTTGGATCCATTAAAATTGCAGTGTGATAGTAAGTAACTCCTTTTGGAACATACTGAGAATCAAAATTCAAATGCTGCAAGAGAAATATAACACTTTAAAAACATTATTATGCAAATTAAAATTACAGAAACAAAATAATACTAGGTATAATACATCTTAGGATGAAAAGATCAATATGTTCTATTATTATTAATCGACCAAATGTGTCGATTCCGTGATAAAAATTATGTAAATATGTATACAAATAAAGTTTTGCTGCAAAATGGTTCATTTCCGAGATTCATGCATGATATGTTCGAGTCATAACTTCACGGGTGTGTTAATTAATCCGAAATTTCTTAACGAACCAGAGGGATGTAAAACCACTGATTTTCAAGATACGTATATGGAGTAGAGATTAAAAACATCGTATTGTTTCAAATATCATGATGTTTTACATTAGTTTTAAAAGCTACGCTATTGGTGAACTTGGGCTATTGACTTAATAAAGACAAACATTAATAATTGAATTACAATACAGATGTTATCCATTGAAAACTGCAGAGGTGTTACGCCACTGATTTTCTGATGTACATTTTTTGACCCAAAAAAAGGAGTCAAAGTTTCGGTAGATTTTTCGCATAGGTATTTCCGATTATTTTGCAATGCCTACGCGCGCAATTTGCACAGGAAAGTACAACTTAGAAAAAATATTAAGCCCAAGATGGGTCACGTATCACGTAAAGTTCATCACTGTATGATTTATTTGTCTTTTTTTCGAAAAACTCAATTTTTGCCAAACTATCAAATATTTTGTAAATTTACAAAAATGGATTTGAGTCTCGTAAAAAAAATCTTTTTTCGTTTTGAAGACGTAGAAGTTTTTTAAAAATATGCGATTTTAGCTTTTTTTGCAATAATACATTTGTTTATCAATTGACATCGCGCTGGGCTCAAAATTTTTGTTATAAAATGTTCTACAACTTTTGTCTAAAACAGTTTTTCCCAAAATTTTTAGTTTCTTTTAAATGAAAACAAATTTTTTTTTTGAAAAATAAATGTTACGCTACTGTGTAAAGCATAAGAAATAACTTAATGTATGCACCTACCTAGAACTCTACGTATAACACACCGTCCCAGAAAAAAAAAATCTCAATTTTCTACAGCAGTAGATATTTTGGTATATTTTAAATTTAATTTCCGAAGAATAGGAAGGATAACTAAGGGGCCAGGGCCGGATCTAGGGAGGGACTACGGGCAAGATCTGGCATTTTTCTTTTTTAGAATCAAAACTGTTTAGGTTTTGAAATTTTATATCATTTTTTTTTAGAGTCAAACAAAATTATGTTTAGGTTTTAAAATTTAACATCGTTTTCTTTATTTGGAGAGGGCCTGCGTAGAGCTTGTAGCCCCGGTACTCACCATAGGTTAATCCGGCCCTGCAATGGGAGGGGGTCTACATTTTATTCTATGCAAGTGATTTTATGAATATTCTAACTAAAACGTAGTTTAAGTACTTACATCAATGGTCTCCTTAAAATATTTTTCGCTATCATTACTGCTTAATACACCCCCGATATTAAAAACTGTAGGATTTGGAGAATTCCAATCCCGCGAACTTCCCGATACAAATGCGACACTAAGTCCACTTAACAAAAAAGCATACGTTACTATGTAATACATATTTAGGTATTATATTTTAATGAAACAAAAGGGATTGTTAGATAAATAGATATTTTTTCACGCGAGATAAACTAAACGATGCTCGTTGATGTAGAAGGGTGTTAGATTGTAGGCAGGTATCGATTTTTGTGATGCTGTAGTCTGGGAAACTCACAACTCACTGGATATACCGCACTAAAAATTACGGTTGTGCTACATGATAAAGTTATGATGATAATATTTCGAAATATGTATTTTGTGTAAATTTTTATTGTATGATTATGTATATGTAGTCTACCGACCTGTTGTAGGCATTATTATATGCACAAGGCTTTCAGTAACATCTCATGAAAAATAAATATTTTCAACTAAATTCAATAAAATAAGTATGCGCAATCATAATCGGGCTTCGCTAGACACGTTCTATAATTAAAAAAAAAATGTTTTTATAAGAGGTCGGTATTAGAAAACAAAAATTGATTAAAAACATATAAAATTTGTATTTATGTAAGTTACGCGTTTTGCGGTAACAGATATATTTTTAAAAACCTTTACTAGCTTCAATAAATTAGAAGAATTACAAAAATATTGTAGCAGAAGACTTTATTTCTCAACGACTAGAGAACAAGTCCTACATTCAGTGG